AGTCGGCCGCCCAACCGACTGAGCCACCCAGGCGCCCCTAAACCTTTTAAATATAACGTATTATAATATAATTAGGGGCGCCTGACTGGTTCAGTCAGTGGGCATGCAACTCTTGGTCTTGGGGTCATGAGTTCGAGCCCCACTTAAAAAACATAGAATCTTTGGGGCACCTGGGTGGCTCAGTCAGTTGAGCATCCGACTTCAGGTTAGGTCAAGATCTCACAGTTCATGGGTTCGAGCCCCATGTTGGGCTCTGCACTGACCACGTGATGCCTGCTTAGAATTCTCTCTCTGCCTCTCTCTCTGCCCCTCCCCTGCTCATGTTCTCACTCTCTCTCTCTCTCAAAATAAATAAACATTTAAAAAAATAAAATCTTTAAAAAAAATAAAATATATATATAATTATAGATTATTTAAATTTGAAAAAGGCAAAACAATGAGGTTTTTAGAAGATAATACCAGAGAATATGATCTTGAGCCAGGAAGTCCTCTTAAACAAAATAGAGAAAGCACCAAACATAAAGAAAAAGATAGTTTTGACAATGTTTCTGCCTACAAAATCCTTGATAAATGTTAATATTTACTGAGAGTTTGCCATGTACATCAAGTTAGGGACTTTACGTACATCGTATCACTTAATCTTCACAGCAGGCTATAATAAGTCAGTCTATTACTTTCCTTACTTTGCAGGAGGTTAAGTAGTTCACCGAAGGCCGCACAGCTATCACCCGGGAGTAGAATTTGGGTCTATCTGATTTCAAAGCTCCTGTTCTTAACCACTACCGTGGAAGCCTTCCCAGTTTGGGGGGCAGATTTTGTTTAAGTCTTTATCCTCTGAGGGGTGCCTGGGTGGCTCAGTTGGTTGAGCGGCCACCTTTGGCTCAGGTCATGATCTCATGGTTCGTGGGTTTGAGCCCCTCCTTGGGCTCTCTGCTGACAGCTGAGAGCCTGGAGCCTGCTTCAGACTCTGTGTCTCCCTCTCTCTCTGCCCCTCCCCTGCTCATGTTCTGTCTGTCTGTCTCTCTCTCTCTCTCTCAAAAATAAACATTAAAAAACATTTTTTTTAAGTTTTTATCCTCTGAAACTAGCATTCTCCTTCCTTCCCCGAGCATCTTACATTCACTGCTTCTACTGCTTCATCATCTAATTGTCATCCTTCTGCCATATCCTTTATGACAAATTCCAATCCAAGCAATTACTCACCCACTCCTCAACTCCTTGTTGTCTAGATCCAACCCCCAATGATAATGATATGCTAATCATCAGAGTAGGGAACTGTAGGAAATCCTAGTTATGGTACCCAATGGCTTTTTCTCAATCTTTATCTTTACTGACCTCTTTTGAACCTCCCCCTTCTTTGAACACAATTCTCCCTTAATTTCTAAGTCATACTTTAAGTTTCTCATTCAACCAAGACACTTAGTTGACACCAACTTTATGTGTGCTTTGTGCCAGGTACAGGGATGCAAACGTCAAAATAAAGTTTCAAACCTCAATAAACTTGTCTAGATTAAAGACAATTAGGCAACTACCAAATAGTACGCATGATATTTTATATATTATATATATACAATCACATAAAAGAGCTAAGAAATTTCATCTAAAATTGCAGTTAAGTCTATGGGCTTTAGAGTCAGATAAACAAGGGTTTGAGAGCTGAATTCATCACTTGTTGTAAAATTTTGGGCAAGTTATTCAAAATACTTTAAAAATTAGGTGAATCATTACAGATTACATCATGCTTACTATAGAAGAGCAGAATGCTACTGGTGTTTGTAGAGAGAATGAGCCATATAAGGTTGAACCCATTATACAAATTACTAGAGGAATGCCTTATTTTTAAATGGTTTGATAAAATTATAAGTAAACACAAACAGCTAAAGTTCCCCCTGCCAAAGCTTGTCAGGGTACATTTGACATAGTCATCTACTGCTGGAAACATTATAAAATTAGTATGTAAGCTGCACAGACACAATTGCACATGAAAAAGAATGCTTTTTAGAGACCTGAGATGCAGCTTGGTGCCCTGGCTTGGATAATGCCAGACCTACAGAATATTGGTTAACCACACTACCCATACGAGACTACGGAAAGCATGGGCAGACAAAATGTAAACATTTAATAGACTGGGAAACATTGGCAAAGTCCCCAAGATTAACTCAAGGTAGAAAAGTGAGAATATATTTTGTTTATTTGTTCTTACCAAAGGCTATAAACCCGAAAGAGATCAAACTGCAAACCAGTTGACTATTAAACTGCTAATGCTGGAAACCAGCCAGTTAGGCAGACTGCAGGGACTATTTGGTTGAAATGAGCATACCCAAGATCGTATTTTACATGACATACAAATGGACTGTTCAGTGGCAAACTAAGCAGATGAAGTGGCGGGCATCTGTGTTGCCACAACAGACCACCCTTCACCAACATAAACCACAAATAGTACTCCTCCCCTCCCCCACGATTACGAAACACTGTTTCACCCAGGGGTCGAATCTGCTGTCAGCTAAAGCGTGTCAATAATGTTCCTCACCGTTGCAGTTTCACTGAATTTTGCTTCGATACAGTCAGTTCGCTGGTTTCAGTTCCTTTCCCTCCTCCCCCAGTGGCACAATGCCAGCTGGAACAGTTTTTTGGGCAAGGGTGGGATTTTGTAATTTTGACACATGCACAAATTTTACATTTGAAATTTGGTGGCTTCTGACATCAACTAAAATAGTGGTTGAGGAAGTAATTTCCAAGTATGGCCTCCCTCATACAGTTAACCTAAAAATAACCTGTATAGGGGCACGTGACTGGCTATGGAATGTGTGACTCTTGATCTCAGGGTTTTAAGTTCGGGCCCCATGTTGTATGTAGAGATTACTTTAAAAAAATAAAATCTTAAGAAAAAAAAACCCTTATATATTATGTAAATAAATAAATAAATATCTGTTAATAGATATAGAATATACCCTCTCCCTCTCTATATGTGTGCATGCATGAGTGTGTGTGTGTGTGTGTGTGTGTGTGTGTGTGTGTGTAGAATGTTAAACAAAAGGGAGTCCCATGTATGGCCTCCTATGTACTCTCAGTTTCCTTTACAAAGACAGCTATAACAGGGGGACCTGGGTGGCTCAGTCAGTTGAGCATCTGACTTCAGCTCAGGTCATGATCTCACACCTCATGGGTTTGAGCCCTGCATCAGGCTCTGTGCTGACATCTCGGAGCCTGAAGCCTGCTTCAGAGTGTCTCCCTCTCTCTCTCTCTGCCCCTCCCAGCTTACCCTCTGTCTGTCTCTCTCTCAAAAATAAGTAAACATTAAAAAATTTGAAAAAAAAAAGATGCTATAACAGATTTTATCCACAGGATAAGAGAAAATAAATAATATATACCGAGCATTTTGCATAGTGCCTTTAAGTAACTCAATATCTAAATTTATTTTTTTTATTAAAAAATTTTTTTTAAATTAATTTACCTATTTTGAGAGAGGCAAAGAGAGTGTGAGTGGCAGAGGGGCAAAGAAAGAGGGAGAATCCCAAGCAGGCTCTGCGCTGTCAGTGGAGAGGCCATGCAGTGCTCGAACTCATGAAACCGTGAGATCATTACCTAAGCCAAAATTAAGAGTTTGAGGCTCAACCGACTGAGCCACCCAGGAGCCCCTAATGTTTTTTTTTGTTTGTTTGTTTGTTTTTTAAGTAGGCTTCATTCCCAACGTGGGGCTTGAACTCATGACCCGGAGATTAAGAGTCACATTCTTTACCGACTGAGCCAGCCAGGTGCCCACAATTTCTAAGTATTTATAAAATGCTTACCAGTATTGCCTCTTGGGATGACCCTAAAAGAGATGCTGAATTGTACCAAGTAGAATAAGGCATTCCAAGAAATGAGAATGTTATATGCAAAGCTCTGAGAGCAGCAGAGTGTGGTGTGTGGAACAATGTCGGTGGCTAAACTGGAGAGGACAAGGCTAGAGGCAGGGAAATTATTGAAAGATGGTAAGAGAGATGACGAGTGCCCAGACTAGAGCAGTGGCAGAGGAGAAGAGATAGATCAAAGAGATATCCAGGATGCAGACCTGATAGGGAGTGGTAGACGATTAGATGGGGGAGGAAGAAAAAGACTGATGGAAATCCTAGGTTTGTGATGTGATTTACATGCTGGCGATAATGAACCACACAGCCACAAACCTATTTTAGAGGAAGAAGCAGAAGTGTTTGGTGTTGACATATTTAAGTTAATGTAAAGCATCTAGGTAAAGATCATCTGCAATATAGTAGACATTCAGAATTCAGAAGTCAACATTTTTTTAGAATACCTAATCAATATAAATACTTACATAATTGGTTCTTATAGAATCACCCTGGCAATGACAAAGGGATATTAATCAAGAGTTAACAGATTATAATAGAGTTTTATGACTGACCCAGAAAGTATAGGGCTAGTCAAACCGGAATTAAGTAAATTAAAAACAAATTTCCATCACTACCTCAGCTGCTTTGCCGTTGTAAAGGCGAAAATGATTACAGGCCTTAAGATTGAGTGCGATGGTGCTTTCAGGGATTTGCTGAAGGTAAACTGCCAGAACTTCCTGAGACACATCATAGTAATCCAGCTTGTAGTAACACAGGGCCACATACACATTGAGGGCAAGGTATTCCCTATTAGGTGAAAGGATTAAGGGTTAACAGTTGAAGTCTACTTCAGAGAAATGTTGTCAAACGACAAAGACTTTTTTAATGGTTAAAAATGGACAGCCAGGCGGAGAAAACATGAATTTGCCTTTCGAAGAAAGAAACCAAGATACCATCAGTGTGATATTTTTCTTTTGTACTGTAATATTTGGGCGTTTTAAGTAGAATGAAAGATGACAACGAAAGGAGAAAGGGAAACATTCAACTCCTACTCGTTCATGTTAAAAAAAATGAAACTAACGTACTGGGCAAAAACTGTAAATGAGCACATGCGGTACAGGGGACTGACACACAAGAAGCAGACTCGATGAGTGAGGGGGAAATGGCTGGGGTGCAGGTAAAACAAAAGGAGAGAAGGCAGGTGGGTGAGACATTTTGGGAAAGTGAGAGAGAGACCACATGGTCAGTGATAAAAGTTGGAATGTTAATTCTCGGGAATGGTTTATTTCTAATTTTGTCAAAACGTTACCTATGATGTAATACAATGCTGAAATGATACATTTAGACCATGCATTTTCTTTTTTTTTTTTTTTTAATTTTTTTTTTTTTCAACGTTTTTTTAATTTATTTTTGGGACAGAGAGAGACACAGCATGAACGGGGGAGGGGCAGAGAGAGAGGGAGACACAGAATCGGAAACAGGCTCCAGGCTCCAAGCCATCAGCCCAGAGCCCGACGCGGGGCTCGAACTCACGGACTGCGAGATCGTGACCTGGCTGAAGTCGGACGCTTAACCGACTGCGCCACCCAGGCGCCCCTAGACCATGCATTTTCAACAGGAGTTAAGAATTCTTCTGAAGAAATGGAAAATCGTACTCATTTAAGTATAAAGCATAGATATACGTTTGAGATGTAAATGGACACACGGTATATCTGTGGTTTCAATGCTTCATGAGAAGGTGGCTGGGGAAAAGAAGTCCAAAAAGGCTCTCTGGAAGGGTGATAACGAAATTAAGGTGGAGAAATCCTGATCTGGAGAATAAGGAGTTCTTAATGAGGCCAGATTATTAGCCAAACACATTTGAACCCATGGTGATAATAGATCGAAACCATACTAGGTCCTCAGCCAAACTGTTTCCAGGAAAAAAAATAACAAAATGAGATTCTGAGTAGACATAAAAGGGCACAGACCTGTTATCTAGCAGTATTCGCTTATAAATATCAATAGCTTCTTGGTAGTGAGATCGCATATAGTGGATTGAGGCCAAACTGAGTTGATCTTCTGTGATATCCTGAAGATTCTGATGAAAGTTCATCAACTTCTTCTCATCATTAAACTAAAATTGTCAGAGGAAAAAACACATGAAAAGATTCATATTAGAGAACAGTTAATCAATACCTATGGTACAGAGATTTTAACTCCTCCTTCAACCACCTTGTCTCTCTGTTCTCCCTATTTCTCTTCAGTTCCTTATCTTCTCTTCTGTCTCCTTCAGAGAAAGAATGAAAACAGCCTCTGGAGGCATAGCCTTGACAATGGAAAACCTTTAAGTCACAGCTAATAACCACCCTCTTCCTTCTTCCTATTTCTTTCTTGCTTTTCTTTTTTTCTATGTCTTTTTATTGCTTTCATTTGCTGTTTATAAGAGAGACATTTTAAAATATAAAGACACATGGGGAGCCTGAGTCAGTCAGGCTCAGTCAGTTAAGCATACAACTTCGACTTAGGTCATGATCTCTTGGTTTGTGGGTTCGAGCCCCTCATCAGGCTCTGTGCTGACAGCTCAGAGCCTGGAACCTGCCTCAAATTCTGTGTCTCCCCCTTTCTCTGCCCCTCCCCTACTTGCACTCTGTCTCTCTCTTTATCAAAAAAAAATAAACATTAAAAAATTTTTTTAAATATAAAGACACAGTAAGATAGAAAGTTTAAAAGTATCTCAAGAGATATAATAGACAAATATTATACAAAAAAGAGCCAGTGTAGATATACAAATATGACAAAGTAGACTTTATGTGAAGAGGAATTTCTAGAGATAAAGAGAGGCATTTCATAATGATGTTTTAATCCACTAGATGGATATAAGAATTCTAAATTTGTATGCACTTAATGATACAGTCTGGAAAACATGTAAAGCAAAAACTGAAAGAACTAAACAGAGAGATAGATAATTACAGTGTGATATTTTTAAATGCACCAATTATTTTCATATATTGCACATGGGTGATATGATAAACTTTCTGTAAAATAATTTAGCAATATCAATGAAAATCTTTACAGTTGTTCAAATTCAATTAACTCAGTAAGCTCATTTCTAGGATGTTCAGAATAACATTTTTGTAATTAAAATTAAAACAATCTAAATGGAAAAATAAATAAATAAAACAATCTAAATGGGACTGATTCCTTGATTTCTCTTTGTGCTGCTTCATTTTTGGTATACAAAAATGCAACAGATTTCTATACATTGATTTTTGTTTCCTGTGACTTAACTGAATTCATGTATCAGTTCTAGCAATTTTTGGGTGGAATCTTTTAGGTTTTTTTTTTTTTTTAACCAAGTTTTCTATATAGAATATCATGTCATCTGCAAATAGTGAAAGTTTTACTTCTTTGCCAATATGAATGCCTTTTATTGCTTTTTGTTGTCTAATTGCTGAGGCTAGGACTTCCAGTACTATGTTAAATAACAGTGGTAAGAGTGGACATCCCTGTCTTATTCTTGACCTTAGAAGAAAAGCTGTTTTTCCCTGTTGAGAATGACATTAGTTGTGGATTTCTCATACATGGCCTTTATTATGTTGTGATGTTTCTTCTAACCCTACTTTGTTGAGGGTTTTTATCATGAACGGATGATGAACTTTGTCAAATGCTTCTACTGCATCTATTGAAATGATCAAAAGGCTCTTATCCTTTGTTTCATTAATGTGGTGTATCACATTGGTTGATTTGCAACTACCGAACCACACTTGCAGCCCAGGAATAAATCCCATTTGATTGTGGTGAGTGATTCTTTAAATGTACTGTTGGATTAGGTTTGCTAGTATTTTTTTTTTAATTTTTTAATGTTTATTTATTTTTGAGAGACAGAGAGACAGAGCATGAATGGGGGATGGACAGAGAAAGGAGGACACAGAATCTGAAGCAGGCTCTAGGCTCTGAGCTGTCAGCACAGAGCCCGACGTGGGACTCGAACTCACGAGCCACGAGATCAAGACCCGAGCCGAAGTCAGACACTTAATGGACTAAGCCACCCACGTGCCCCTGTTTGCTAGTATTTTATTCAGAAATCTTATATCCATGTTCATCAGAGATATTGGCCTGCGGTTGCCTTTTGTAGTGGAATCTTTATCTGGCTTTGGTATCAGGGTATGCTGTTCTCATACAATTAACAACACAAGAAACATAAGGTGCTGGTGAGCATATTAACAAAGGGGGACCCTCTTACATTGTTCTTGGGAATGCAAACTGGTGCAGCCACTTTGAATACAGTATGGAAATTCCTCAAAAGGTTAAAAATAGAACTACCCTACGATCCAACAATTGCACTACCAGGTATTTACCCAAAGAATACAAAAATACTAATTCAAAGGGATACACGCACCTTGATGTGTATAGCAGCACTATCTACAATGGCCAAATTATGGAAAGAACCCAAATGCCCACTGACTAATGAATGGATAAAGAAGATATGGTATATATTTACCATACCAGAAAGACAAATAAAGAAACTGATCCCATTCACAATTGCACCAAGAAGCATAAAATACCTAGGAATAAATCTAACCAATGATGTAAAAGATCTGTATGCTGAAAACTATAGAAAACTTATGAAGGTAATTGAAGAAGATTTAAAGAAATGGAAAGACATTCCCTGCTCATGGATTGGAAGAATAAATATTGTCAAAATGTCAATACTACCCAAAGCTATCTACACATGCAATGCAATCCCAATCAAAATTGCACCAGCATTCTTCTCGAAACTAGAACAAGCAATCCTAAAATTCATATGGAACCACAAAAGGCCCCGAATAGCCAAAGTAATTTTGAAGAAGAAGACCAAA